GTGTACTAGAACTGAAAAAAGCCAAACAGAAGTCACTAGAAGTCCAGCAAGAAGATTTGGAATCAGCCCTGTGCAGTGTGCAAAGCAGTGTGGAATTCACAGAGAAAGCTTTGGAAAATGGCAGTGAAGTGGAGATTTTGAACATGCGCAAAAAAATGTCCAGCCGATTAGAGGAACTGAATTCAGCAATATGGCAACTGGAGCCATGTGCTCATGATGTCTTTAGGTTTCATGCTGATGACCAACTTTATCAAGTGTTAGCCAGCTATGGAACCATCACAGATATCTGTACAGATGCTGGTACATCAACAGTCACTATGGGGCATGGTTTAGAGGGTTTGATGTATAATACAATCATCAGGCAACCAGTTGAATTCACAGTTACTGCCAAACAGAAGAATGGAATGAATTGTCAAAAAGGTGGTGACCAGTGTGAAGTTAAAATTTGTGCAGGAAAAGGCAAAAATCAATTTAGTGATGTGGCTCAGTTTTCAGCCAAAGATGTTGGCAATGGAACTTATAACTTCAGTTTTACTCCAAACCAAGTTGATATGAAGTACAGGTTGTCAGTGAAATTGAATGGTTTTCATGTGAAAGGGAGTTCTTGTACGTGGCATAGTGAAAGCTGGCAACTCTGCCCAGATAAGAATGACATGTGGGGAACTTATCCCCTCATTCAGATAGACAAAGATTCAAGAGTGGCAACCTATGTGGCATTTGAGAAATATGATCACGAGGATTATTGTGAAGAACCAGAATATATTCAAAATTAAGAGTGGAGTCGAGAAGCAGCCTGGACTGAAAGACTTGCTGGTGGACTGTACCTAGGTCGTGACATACCAGAAGACTATGGAGACTATGATGAATATGAAGGATATGAAGAAAATGAAGAATATAGAGCACCAAAGGAAAATGTGATGGAAAGACTCACAGTCATTGGTACTTCTTCATTTCATGTTGGAAAGCATTCATGGAAAGCTAAAATGTCTGGTGAAGTTTCTGATGGATTTTCTTTTGGTGTTGTTGTTCGCACTAATGCGTTTCCACTCAAGTGGATGTGGGAGGCAGGAAACAAGTACCAAGGCTCATCATGTCAGAAAAGTACTTTAACAAACTGTATAAATGATGACATTATTGAATTTTACTGGGACTGTAATAACAGAACACTAACAATGTACAACCAGCGCACCAAAGAGAGTGACACATGGGAAAATGTCAAAGGTAAAGTATGCCCTATGTTTGAGATGTCTAAAGATGAACAAGAAGTTTCTTTAATTTTGTAAAGAAGGGAAAACCAATCTATTCTAATGGTTTTCACCCGACAGCTCAGTAAGAATTTCTTGTTGAGATTTTAGGTAAGTTAGTTATTAGAGCAGGTGAAGACTTATCTTTAACCAAATTTTCACTTTGATAGGGTTTTTCATCTTGTGATAAAGCAATAGTGAATTTCTAAGCTTTTGTGTGATGTGATATCAAAATGATCACTAAGAATGCTGTCAGAGTGGTTAAAAAAAGTGGCTTATATGCTGAGATTTTGCACTCTGAACAGTCCTTGTATGAGAAGTACTCCTTTAGATGTTTATGAACCCTCATTAGGCAACTACAGCTTTTGTAGCTAAACTTGATGACATATGTTTTTGTTAGCTTCTGTGAGGCTGCCAATTTTTTTTTGTTTGGTTTTCAGAGGGACACATTAACATGGCATCTCCATACCTGAAGCCTTATAAATTTTAGTAAAACATTTCTTCAAATATCTACAGCACTAAACATTGCACAAACCTGAATCTTTGCAAGACTGGTTGAATATTTG